TTTTCTTTTACAGAACAACCTCCAAAAAATTTGGTCATCCCCTAAATATTTTCTGTATATGTTGGCCAAAAATCCTGAGAAACAGAAGATTCTTCGACAGGAAGTGCTCTCAGTGTAAGGAAATTCTATTTTTGTAACGCTGGGAACGCCCGATCGGATGCCATACCTAAAGGCCTGGTTACGAGAGACCCTCTGCGCCTCTATCCTGTTCTCTTCGCTATCCCACGAAGACCGAAACAAGACATAATATTAGGGGGTTACCATATCTCTGGGGGCACTGCTCAAGTTGAATTCCTTCTTCATCAAATGGGGTAGGATGTGACTATTTTTTAAGGTGCCGAAGCATTTAAACCTGAGAGATGGTTGCAAAACAAAGATACTGCTTTGATCGAAACAGTAGAAGCTTTCACTTCTCTTCAATTTGGATTACGAACACCATTTCTGATAGCCCTGTTAAAGTGCAGTTTGTTGACAGAAAATGAGTCCGGTTTCCATGTGGCCACTTTCACCTTGCATTGAAACACTGTTTTGAGTTGAAAGTGGAACAAATTCTGATGACAACTCGTTTAAATAATCCACACTTATTGGATCGAAGGTGTTCAATAAGTCACATTTAAAAGTCAGTTTCAACCATTTCAGTGATTTCCGACATCTGATAAATATTTAACTCCTCTGGCTGCCAATCACTTTCCATTTTATTTCTCTTGAGAATTATTCAGTGTTATGTTACTTGAAGGTCACATCTTCTCGTTAATAATTTCCTGTATCCTTATCAGTAGTTCGCTCGGTAATGTATTTGATTCGGAGTTTTGAAGCATTAGAGAAGTTATCTTAAAAAATCGCAGATATTTATGCGTTTCAAATTCATTTGAAAACGGTCTTACGAACTATTTTTCTCGCACGCAAATTTTTGTGACATACAAATATACAATTATATTTCGTATTGTATTCTTTCGGTTTTCATTGTACATATTGATTCACAGATACGGCACAAAAGTAGCAGACGAAAAATCTGTTAAGTTTTTTTGGTCAACAAAAAGCAATCCTCCACATAAATTTTCTTTTGATAATAAAGTAACCTTTTCCAGGCGTTCAGTTGATAAAACGGGGCGAAATAGTAGCGGCAGAGCGAAAGTGAAGGATAATAAGTATACAGAAGTATCTATGAGCATACAAGAGTCTGTGTGAGGATACAACAGTGTCTACGCGTAGGGGTATCGATTGACCCTTTACACCTTAAGATCAGCATGCATATTCTGCATACTGTTTTCTATACATTTCCTGAGGTGCTGACGAGGAGATTTTGCTTAACAATCAAGAGCTCCTGTACTTCTTGATCATTCCATTATTCTCGTGACCTTAATATTTGATTCAGGTGTGATATTGTAAGGAGAAATTAGATGCTTGTCACTCGATCTTAGGGCTTAAAGGGTTAAATTGATAAAATTACCGGGGTATCTATGAGAATACAAGGGTTTGCATCACTATACAAGTCTATCTGTTTTTTTCTTTTCTTTAAATGTGTTTATTTTGGCATGTCAAACCACAGATTATTTCTTGTCAAAAGCCTTGCAAGAAATTTACAAAAATTTAAGTTTAGAAAAACCTTCTTTTCCAAGTCATACATTTTTTTAAAAGTCTCTTGCATTGACTAACTAATCACCTTTGAAAAAGGATTAAAATTTTTCTTTACTTGACGAACTAGTCGCGTTCTAAACCTAAAAATTGTCACACTTTGCTTGTCTTGTTTACTGAACTAATAACTTTTAAAACATGGAGTTTTTTAACTTCGTAACTCTTAAAAAGAGGTAACATTACACGCTGTCTTGTTTCAGATTATTACACTTGGATGTATGAT